ACTAGTTAACAAAACAGGGCTTCCAAGGCAGATGGCCTGACTGTGCTACTTATTTACTTAAGCTTTTTAAGATGAAGACCTGGAGTCTGCAGCCAGGTGGTCAGGGTTTGATTCTCTGTTGCATGACTTGGGCAGGGACCATGTCCTGAGTCTTCAGCAGTAAAAGGATAATCACAGCACTAGTTCATGGGCCCAATGGCGTTGGGCAAAAGACCTCCTTAAAGTGTTAAAAAGCTAAGGTGGCACCTGGAGGACTAAGATGCGTCTGGCCCAAGGTGTGGAATTTTTAAATCCCTTCACAGGGTGTGACAATAAAACAATAAGGAACACTGAAATGATGTCTCTGAATTACAGTCTTGGTGAAGACTATCAACTATGCCTTGGGTTTCTCAGGTACTTGGGGCGGGTCATCAGGAGGGGCGGTCCCTGGAGAAGAACCTCATGCGCTGTAGAGGCTCAGGCAAAAAGAGGAGACCCTCAATGAGATGAATGGGCGCTGGCTGCAGCAGTGGGCTGTACTCCACAGCATCCGGTAACCGCAGCATCGCAAACAATGGTACCATCAGTACATTAGTATCTGCTTGTGGCTCTGTTTTCAGTGTGGGGTTATTTATCCAGGAATGGAATTGCTATATCAGTTGGTAATGCTGTTTACCTTTTTGAGGAAAAGCGAATCTGTTTACCACCATTGTAAAGTAGCTGTTCTGCTTTATATTTCTACCAACAATGCATGGATAATTTAATTTCGCCGCATCTTTACCAGTACTTGCTGATTCATTTTTATAAAGAACCACTGTCTTGCATGTGACAATCTTCCACTGCCATTCATAAAGGATTCCCAGGGGTAATCACTCAGAAGTGGACAGCCTGTTACTCTTGGGGGATCGAAAAAGAGGAAGACCTTTAAGGAGATGGATGGACACGGTGGCGGTACCATGAGCTCAAAGATAACAGCAGTTGTGAGGCTGGTGCAGGGCCGGGCAGTGCCTTGTTCAGTCACGTACAAGGTCTCCAAGAGTTGGAACAGCAACAATAGTGGGCGTGACATGGTAACTCATTGTGCTTTCTATTTTTGTCTCTCGGGTGACTAATGCTATTGGACACCTTTTCATGTACTTTTTGGCCATTTTTATGTCTTCTTTGGAGAAATGTTTATTCAAGTCCTTTGCCCATTTTTTATTGTTGTTTTACTTCTTTAAATCTTATAGCTAGTAAAACTTTTCAGATATGATTTATAATTATTTCTTCGCATTCAGCAGGTTTTTCCTTTTATTGATCTTTTCCCTTTTTTTGCCTTTTCCCTTTATTGATCATGTTCTTTGATACACAAAGAGTTTTTTTATGAAGTCTAATTTATCTGATTTTTCTTTTGTGGCTTTGAACTTGTGTTTTGCCTTTTAGGAAACTTTTACCTAAGAAAAGAGTGCACATCCCTCCAGATTCCTTGGCGCTCAAACCTACACGGGGTCTGAGGGGCTTAAAGAAGAAAGGAGGAAAGTGAAACGGAAATGGACTTGGAGTCTGTGACAAACACGTTCACTTCCAACAGTAACACGCGCACACACAAGAAAAGAATGCACACGCATTTAAAAGGAGAGCTATGCAAATAAGGATACTGCTATCGACTCGAATTCCATAACTCTCCAGAGACATTCTGATTCGTTAAGGAACTCATTAATAAAAAGTCGGATTGAGAAACTAGTTGAGGAACTAACGTCCAGAGTTTAGTGACGAAGGCACGGCTTGAAAGGGGCAGTTCCAATGAGGACAAACAAGCCAGGGCACTGTCCCGGGGGGCGCACCTTGCACAGAAAAGGGACTTGCACTAGCGGGAGCCTCAGCTCTTCATTCGCTCACTCATTCCTTCCACAAGTACTTACGGAAGCCCTAGGAAGCTGTGGCAGTTGTACATGGTTTTTGTAGCCAACAGGCAGTGAGGATGCTGCCATCATTCAGGTCTTCTGGAAGATAAGAACTTCCAGGAGAGAAAGGGCTCTGTAAAGTGAATATAACCAGCGAACCTGACCTATTCAGGGCATCGGAGCTGGTTTCTTAGAGGAGTCGGGATTGGTTACTGAAGTTCTGGGTACCTCAGTCTTCTCATCAGTAAAATGGGAATGATGCTAACACCTTTGGCTTCCAGAGTCTTGGTGGGAGAATGATTATGCACATCAAAGAGGTATGAAAGTACTTCGTGTACCTATGAAGAGTACTTATTGTACCTATGAAAAGTACTTCATGTACCTAAAAGTACTTAATGAACCTAAAACGCTCTCTAGTCAGAGGCAGCTGGTACTCTTGGCGTCTCCTGCATCTGCCATCAAGCCACGTGGTACGCAGGCACTTAGACTGCAGACCTCTGGGGTTCCCCTTTTTCATTCCACCTGCCGCTAACCCCTGGAAGACTTGCTCCTGTCACTTACTAGGTATGTGACTTTGGGTCAGTAACTGTTAAACCTCATCTTTCTCATTGTAAAGTGGGGTAAATACTACTAGCAGATGGCTTAGAGTGTGTAAAGCACTTAGCATAGTATTTGATCGTGTATGCTCACTACCACTGAGTCAATTCTGACTCATGGTGACCTTGGCCGTTGTATTAGTCTAAGTTCTTTAGAGAAACAAATCCACAGAAACTCATGTATAAGAAAGAGTTTTATATAAAGGGTAAGTGCGCATAAAGAAAACATCGCAACCCAGTGCTGCCCAAGCCCACAAGTCCAACATTAACTCATATGTCCGACACCAATCCACAAAGTCCTCCTCCATCTCACAAAACACATGCAATGATGCCGACTGCAGGAGGAAAGTCGAGTCAGTGAGCGTGTAAGCATCTCAGCGCTGGCAGGGGTCTCCACACTCTGCTCCAGCACCCAGGGCTGCATCGGGGTAGGTCCATGTGGCTTCTCCTCAGGGATGTCTTGTAGGAAGTGAGCCTTGCCAGCTAAAGCAGGGAACTGGCTAAGGCAGCTGCACCCTGGTCCGACCATCAGAAAGCAAAAGACCCGAGAACTAGAAAGCCGAGGCTCACTGAGCCATTTATCCCTCCGCCCTTCAATTAACCCCACATGTGTTTATTGGCCAGGTTGGCACAATAAACCAACTACCTCAGCTGTGAACATACTCCTAAACCAATGTGTAGCTATTATGATTGCTCTAATTGCTGTCATTACTAATTAACTCCTGACAACTCTTTCTTAGTTGGTCCTTTGTTTGCATTTCCATGCTACCAATAAGCTATTGCTGTGGCCTTCTGTTGAGCACCTACTATGTGCTACCCACTGGGGAGGGCACATACTGAAGTTGGAGCTGAAATCCACTAAAACCAAACTCCCTGTCATCAAGAGTTGATTCAGACTCTTAGTGACCCTCCCAAGTAGAACTGCCTCTTTGGGTTTCCGAGGTGGTAAATCTTACAGGCGTCTGACATTATGGTTCATAGCCCAACCCTCAAAATAACCACCATCTTCATCTGTAACATCATGTATCTATTTGACTGGTTTTGAAATGGAATCATAGGATATACTCAGTTGTGTCCAGCTAGTTTCATTTAATATCATATTTGTGAGATTCATCCATCTTGTGCCTGTAGATGCAGTTCATTCATTCATGCGTTCTTATAATAAAATTCATTTGTATATGAATATAGTACAGTTTATCCACTCTTCTGTGATGGACATTTGGGTTGTTTTCTTTGTAGCTATAAATGTTTTGAAATGTGTCTTTTGGTGAATATATGTGTATTCTGTTGGATGTAAACTTAGAAATGACATTGCTGGGTAACGGACATGTGTTCAGTTAGCTTTAGTAGATAGATGGTGGTAAACAGCCTTCTGAAGCAGTTTATGCAAAGTTCACTTCGATGAGCAGTATGGTCCGGCCTTTTCATTGTGCCATTCTGGTGAGTATGAAATTGCGATTCTATTTTGCATGTTTGTGATGATTCATGAATCGAGTACCTTCTGATATGTCCGTTGGCTTTTTTGAAAAAGGCCTGTTCCGTTTTTGTCATTTTCATCCCGTTCTTGCTGTTTTCTTTTGATGGTCTAGAGGCTCTTTCTGTGTCCCCAGATCAGTCATTTTCCGGTCGAAGGTGTTGCAGACAGCCCCTCTCCCCTGGTGGTTTGCCTCTTCACCAAGGGTGTTTTTCGATGAATGGGAGTTCCTAATGCTGATGTTGCTCAATGATCAGCTTTTGTCTTTCTAATACTATATATGTTTAGGAGTCCTGGAGGTGCACTGGTTAAGCGCTGGCTATAACACAAGGGAACTTCTGGAACCCACCAGTCCCTCCTCCGGAGAAAAGACCTGGCACCTTGCTACCGTAAAGATTACAGTCTAGAAAACCCAATGGGGGCAGTTCTACTTTGTAAGGTGGGGTTACTATTCATCAAAAGTTCATTCTACCCCCCTCAAAAAAGTTAATTCTACCCACCCAATAAGAACAATTTGTGTTTAAGAAGTCTTTGCCTACCCTCAAGAGCATGAAGATATGTACTGAATGTTTCTTTATAGTCAATAGCTTATTTTACCTTTTTCATTTAGATCTGCAATTGTTTTTTTTGGGGGGGGGGTGTATGATGTCAGGTAGAAGTTTAGACTCTTTTTTCCCCCTTGCATGCGGATGTTTAGTTGATCCAGGGACCTTCTCGCCCCCAAATCCAGCCCATCCCTCTCCCAGCCCACCCTACTTCCCATCCCACCCAGGGTCATCTTGGACATGAATTCAAGTGACCATACATGGTAGGTCTGTTTCTGGACACTTGCACGTGTCCGTTTGTCTATCTTTACTGACCATTATTATTTCTATCGCGTTATAATAGTTGGTGATGTCTGTAATGTAAGTCCTCCAGTCTGCTACAATGTTTCACCCCAGGGACAGATCTCGTACCAAAGTGACACCGCTGCCTCCCAGTAGGCGGTCAACACACCCCAGCGGGTGAGACTGATGGGCCTGTTTCCATGGCTTGGTCATTTGTTGTTACCTGGGTCTTTGTCCCATCAAAGCCCTTTAATCTGAAAGCCAGCCAGGTGTCTGCGGAGCAGCTAAACAGATCTGCTGGGTAATTAAATAACGTGGGGAAGGGGGAGGCGTGGATTCCCAGGACGGTCTCTAGCGAGGGACACCGTGAGGCGGTGGTCGGGCTGCAGGCGAGGACTGCCTCCTCCAGGAGGACTAGAGACCCCCACGTTAAACGCCAGGCAGAAGTTGGGCGAGCAAGGTGAGGTCACGGAATGTAAATGTCGCCGGAGGTTCCCAGAGGCCCTGCAAATCGCCTGGCCGGGGTGGGGCCGAGAAGCCGCAAATCACCAGTTGGGGGCCAGAGTGCGCGCCGCGGGCTCAGAGCGCGCCTGCAGCTGCCGAGCCCGGAGCGGCGCCGGAGCGGAGCCGCCGCGCGCACAGCA